TGTTATCAAATGCTAATCAAGCAATCTCGTGCAAGACATATAACTCATAAACAATCTCATACTATAAAATACTAATCATGCAATCTCGTGCAAGGCATATACATAACTCATAAGCAATCTCATACTATCAAATACTAATCATGCAATCTCGTGCTAGGCATATAACTCATAAGCAATCTCATACTATCAAATACTAATCATGCAATCTCGTGTAAGGCATATAACTCATAAGCAACCTCATGCTATCAAATACTAATCCTGCAATCTCGTGCAAGACATATAACTCATAAGCAACCTCATGCTATAAAATACTAATCATGCAATCTCGTGCAAGGCATATAACTCATAAGCAATCTCATGCTATCAAATACTAATCATGCAATCTCGTGCAAGACATAAAATCATACAATATGATGCTATAGTATAAGTATAGATAGGTATACATACATATACACTCTTTTGTAAAAAGAATACTTTTTCTGTGGAGGTTTCTTAGAGTCGCAATGACTCGCTTTGCTCTTCTTTTCTAGAGTCTCAATGACTCGCTTTCTTTAGAGTCGCAATGACTCGTTTTTTTTTTTTAATACTCGTGGACGAGGTAGGACTTCACCATGATGTGAATGAACCTATTGGGCTCGGCGTCTAGCCAACCAATATCTCTTCTCGCCCACAGAACCACTCTCTTGGTTCCAAATCTCAAACTCTGTGGAATCAGGTATCGAACTATCAATGTGCACACCCCTGACCAGGATTCCAAGCCTGGCGGGAAGTTTCCAACCTAGTAACGTGGGAATATCGACCTCGTTACTTCACATCGAATCACAATGTTCGTTTCTTTCTCTTTTCTTCCAAAAGGACATAGTCCTAACGGTCCTCCAAAACAAGTTTTTCCTCACAATAGATACATATAGATATAAATCATACAACTCAAATCATGCAACACTTTACTTATGCAAATATGCACATACTTCTCAACAAATTCTCATTATGACAAAATAATGACTTTCCAAAATGGATACGAGTTCATGGAAGATAATACTTAGCCTCACGTTGGTCACGTATGCACTTTTAAAACATGATATGCTCAAAATGCAATTTACTGTAAACATGCTTCAATTCCAAGTTACTCTGAACTCTCAAAGAACACTTAAAATCATGCTTGTAAATCATAACTTGGCACATCTTCTCAACAAAACTTAGCAAGTATTTAACATGCACTTAGAACTCAAAGTACTCAATTTATGCCCACTCACTGTAATTTAACATTCAAGATAGACATGCTCTGTACACTTCGACTTTTAGGAACTTGGCAAAATTCTTAATAAATCATAAAATACACTTTAGGCATGTTTTTCTAACAAAACTTTAACAAATAATTTTCATGCTTCTCTATTTAACAATCAGATAATATCATGCTTTTCAATTAGATAAACAAACACTGATACTTCTCATTTTCATTCACTGGAACAACTTCTGTAGCAAATTCTTTCACAAAAACTAACACTAGGAGCTCAATTCTTCACCAAATTCAACGAAATCAAAGTCTAAACGTCCGTCAAGATGGCCCCGAGGTTCCGATCCACAAGGGCCCGCGACTCCTGGTCCGAAACGACACGTAGCTGAGCCACAAGGGCCCGACCACTGCATAGATGATGATCAACGGAGCCCTCGGCGGAACTTTACGAGTTCCGCCCCCTTGGCCCAGCTTCCTCCCGGCTCAGGGCAACGACCCTCCCCTAGGGCCGGCCATTCACGGGATTGGCCAACGGCCTCCTCCGAGAGCCGTTGGCTAGGCCCGTGAATCCTACTGGTGCACCAGATGGTTTCTTTCACCTGCAAGATTTATCTCAGACATTCTAACACTTCCAAAACATCAACAACACATCATAGATCAAAAATAGATCACTTAATACCTCAAACATTTCAATAAACTAGCATTCTACTCATTTCTAGCACAAAATAGACTTCACAGAGTCTAGTAAATAGCTTTGGGAGTCCATGGGGTTATACCTTTGTAGATTTCTTCCTTGAGCTGGGATTCTACCTTCTTCCCAAGCTAGATACCCCCTTCTTCACCTCCTAAACATCCCAAACAACCACACAACAACTCAATACATGGAGTGTGGCCTTGATTGTAGTTGTACGTGGATGCATATATTTAGCATTTTAGTTATTCTTCTTTCAGTATAAATATGTTTAGTTTGCAAAGCATTTCAATTCGTCCTCTTATTGTATGAAGCAATACAATAAACATTATTTCCTTACCCACTCTTTCTTCTCAATTATATATATATATATATATATATATATATATATATATATATATATACATACATAGATATATTATATTTAATATATCTTACATGATTGCAACGATCGTTACTGGCTGTTGGACGGTTGACACGAGGCAGCGTTGATTTTTGAGATCGATGGTTTGGGGAGCAGATACAGATCAGACAACGAGATTTTTGGGGAAAAAAAAATTAAATTTTTTCTTTTAAAGAAAATAGGGGACATATTTTAGAATAGTTGGGAGTTTTCAAAATTTTGGTTACAAGATTTTAGGCAGGATAATAAATATTCGAATGAAGAGAAAAAAAATAGAATTTGAATTCCTAATTAATTAAACTACCTTTGAATAATTCAAATTATAATAACCTGAAACAATAGCAAATTTTATTAGATAAAACAATTAAAATAAATAAAATTAGAAATTTACCTGTTATTCTTAATTGCAATCCTTAATCAGCATGTTTGCCAATTATTATTTTGGCATCCTTAAGATGCTTTAAAAATTGATTGAGAGACAAAATCTGTTTTCCTAACCTAAATTTTCTTAGAAAATGGTGTAATAATATACTTGTGCATATATTTTTCAGTCATTTGATCTTTGTAGAAGTAGAAGCATTTCGGTCTAATGTGGCCTCGAATCCTGCAATAATGACAAATCGGGTTATAAGATTTGTAAACACGTTTGTTTTGTCATACTTTACCATGATTTTGTCTCACTGAACTTAACTCAGAAATATCTTATGGATATGATCCAGAAGCTTTAACAAGGACGATTTTTTCTTTGTTGTTGCCATCGATCCTAATCCCTAAATATTTGGGAAGAAAAAAACTAATCCCATTTCGTTGTACGGTTTCAAAAACCAACAAAAATTCATTGATGGTGATGATTTAAGACAACCTAGGGTTACCAAAAAAAAAAAAGTACGCACTCAATGTTGAGGCTATTAAAAGCATTAAAATTGATGCACTTAAATACCTTAAATGATAAAAATATGTGGAAGTAATTTTTTTTTTTTGAATGCTATGTGGAAGTAATATATGAAGCCATATTGTATATTTTCTCTCTAAAAGCGTGAAAAATAAAACGCCAAAGAAAAACAATGAACCCATTTTCTCAATGAATTTCCAACCAAAAGGAACGTTCGGAAAAACCTCCGTCGGAAATTCCGTCCAACTATGACTTTTGGTCGGAAATAGCGTCCAACGAACAACAATTGGACGGAAATTCCGGCAAGTACCCCACCATTTTTAAAACGTGGGAATTTCCGTCCAACCTTGTGCGTTGGTCGGAAATTCCATCCAATTATGTGCGTTGGTCAGAAATTCCAACCAATGTTGGACAGAAAACTCACATTATATTTTGTAATTTTCCTTCCAACTGTTGGTAGGAAAATCTTAAATCATATGGAATATTTTTATTATTTTTATATTACCAAAATTTTATTTATATCTATTGTAAATAAATTATATGTCATCAACAAATTATTGGACACACTAAATTTCAAATTGAAAATATATTTAAACATCAAAATTCTTTACAACAAAAATTATTGTCATGTTCATAAAAAAAAAGTCATGAAAATATATACTACTTAATTGATACTACTTAAGTATGCTGCACCCAAATAAGCCTTCAAATCCGGCACTACTTCAATAGCTTTGATCAATGCAGCATCCACAACCTTCTTCTTCAATGACTTTGATCAAATGTAGACCTTCACCAAAATTAGACCATGATAGATTTCAAAATGCAAAAATCATACAAAAAACATAAACAACACTTGGAAAAACAAACTTAGAAGTATTTTTTCTCTTGCAACTGCAAATGATCCAGCATCAACAAAATCATCATAAGCAACCTAAGATAAACATTTCATCAAGTATTATTTGCAATGATAAGAGAACTAATGGATACAACATCAGCATAAGAGAACTAACTTTTATATATATATATATATATATATATATATATATATATATATATATATATATATATATATATATATATATTCTAATAATATTACATTCAATTCATTCATCAATAATAATATATCCTGTAACTGCAAAATGCAATAGTAGGGACAGTCACTACAAATTAGATATTGTAACCTCCAACAGTAGAAAATTGTCAAAACCCAAAAAGAAAGGGCAAAAAAATCACGGAATGAAAAATATTTCTTGAATCCCTAAACTTCCCAATAAGAGTGGCTTGGTTTTTTCAACATGAAAAATATACCTTTATAGGAGAAGAGGCTTTCAAGGGAAACAAGATAATGAGTAAAATACAGATGAACAGCTACCTTGAAAGTAACAATAGATCATTATGCAATATTGATTCCACATCTGCACATATAATCGTTAGCAGGTGAAAACCATTGAGTTCATTGCATTCGGCTACAATAGCCTGAGTCCACTTTGTTTCTATAATGCCCAAAAGAATACATATAACAAACATATAGAGGTAGATTTTCCTGATGTGTAGTCGAATTAGGAGGAAAGAAATAAGAAACTCTTTCTTATTGAATAGTGTTCCTGTAAACCATGACTAGAATCCAGGTTTAATATAATCATAATTAACATCAAGAAGTCCGCTTTCAAGTAAGGTGGGAATAGCAACCTTCTAGAATAAATGCATTCACTGAAATCATCATTCTCTCTAATGCCAATCAATAAATAGCTCCACATTTGGACATTCATATTTAGACATATACGAAAAAGAACTTCCATTGCACCAATTACAATTCTTAGCCACAATAGGCAAAGTCAAAACTAGCAATTTAAACAACAATTTGGTCTATTTCCTCTCTACCTCTCACACCTATAATCACCAATCTCAAAATCAGCTCCACTAACAAGGAAACAGAGAAAGCAAACCTAAAAAAGTTACCTCCCTCATCATCCTTCTTCCCTTGAATAATCTGAGCTTTAACTTCTTCAAACATAAGAGGCTCAAAATTTGCAATATAGTCATCAACATCACTGTATTCTAAACCCTAATCTCATCTGCAATTCATATTAAGGCCAAGAAATTCAGAATGCAGATACAAACAGATGGATTGGTAAACTGGGAAAAAGAATTCATACCATAGCAATCGGAGACGCCGTTCTAGCCTTCCATTCCGACGACCATCTTTTCCAATTTAATATTCGATTAAATAGATAAGTTAGCAAAATAGGGTTGAGTTCAGGTACTAAATTTAAACAATATTCAAAAAAATAAATCAAAACTCACAATGTAGGTGGAAGATGGTGGCGACGGTGACTGGCAGCGGTTGAGGTGACAGCGAGCGGTCGACCATATTTCGAACGGCATTGACATATATAAACTTTAAATTTAAAACTGAAATTACAATTTGAGTAGTTAAATAAATGAAAGACAGCAACCGCACGTACCTGAGGAAGCGTAGCAACGCCGGAGCTGGTGCCGTCGCCGCTGCTCACGCCGCCAATATTTCCATCAAACACTGCCGCTGCTGATGCCACTTTCGTAGACTATAGAGAGAGGATTTCAAGCCGTCATCGTCATCGATCGCTGGAGTCTGGAGATACCCGCCTTCGTCGATGTGAGAGAGGAGTCCAACTTGCCGCCTTTGTCGATGTGAGAGAGGAGTCCAACTTGCCGCCGTCGTCAATCGCCAGAGCTTAGAGATAGAGAAGAGCTTAGATCTGTGTTTGGAGGGTACTATACCTCTAGGGTTTTATTTTTATTTATTTCCTAAATTTCCGTTCAATAATATGTTGGACAGAAATTAAAATTCTTACCATTTTTAATTTCTACCTATTAATCAATTTGAGTTTACCAACCAACACTATAGGTTGGACAGAATTTCCTTCCAACACTGGATGTTGAACGGATTTTCCGTCCAACGCGCGAATGTTGGACGGAACTTCCGACCAACTTTCCGTCCACCCTTCTTTTGCGATAGAAAGTTGAATTTTTTATTAAAATACCGACCAACTTACGGTTGGACGGAAATGTTAGACGGAAATAGCGAGATTTCCAACAGTGTTGTGGGGGAGAAATTTTCTGCTAATGAAACCCGTGATAGGTGCGCATTGTCAATTGTGCATATGTATAAATTGGAAGGACAATATCTCCAAACAATAAAAAACTAATAATGAAGAGACTTGAAAGGACAATGATGAAGAGTGGGTGCATGCTGTCAGGTTAATGATAATTTCTTTGTTCCAAACCAAACACGGTTATTACCGTGGACTATGGTCCACACAGCTGGATAGACAATAGTTTGAAAACAACGTCATTTCTTTAAGTAAAAAATGTTAATCGTTAAATTTAACAAATTTCGTATTTTGTGTGTGTTTATAACAAAATGAAACTACAGTGTATCTAAAATGAAACTGAATAACTTGTCTCGCATATTGTGTTTATATTATCAAATGAAACTGTAATTGAATTAAAATAATATTTTAGTTGTGTTGGAATGAAATTATAGTATGTATAAAATGAAACTGAATAACATGTCTCACATATTGAGTATATATTGTCAAATAGAACTGTGTAGTTGAACTGAAATGATGCTTTAGTTTTGCTGAAATGAAGATACAATATGTATACAAAGAACCTGAATAACATGTCTCACATATTGAGTGTATATTGTCAAATGAAACTGTAGTTATATCAAAATAATACTTTAGTTGTGTTATAATGAAACTACAGTGTATATAAAATGAAACTGAATAACAGTTCCACATATTAGAGTGTATATTGTCCAATGAAACCGTAGTTGAATTTGAATTATAATTTAGTGGTGTTGTAATAAGACTAAAGTGTATAAAATGAAATTCAATAACATCTCTCATTGTAATAAGACTATTATATTGCATGTATGTATAATGTCGAATGAAACTATTGATGAAACAAAAAGAAACTATAGTTGTACTGAAATGAAATTACAATGTGTATAAAATGAAACTAAATATATTATGCAAACAGAACTAATTATACAGAAGAGGTACCGTTTCTTTTCATTAAAAAAAACGACACCGTGTTTAATTTTGGTCCACACTGCTATATGAACCATTGTACACACTAAAATTTCCAACCAAACGAGGAATTATAAAAATATCACTTTCATGAATTGTCGAAGTTGTATTAAAATAGCATTTTAGTCCTCTAGTTATATTGATATTGTAAACTTATTTTTTGAATAATTATCTTATTCATTTTCTTTTCTTTAATTATTTATAAAGTGATAGTTTTAATCAAATTATTAACATAATTTATCATATTCAACAAGAAATGTTATATTATAAATATTATATAGGACAGCCAAGTAATTTCACAAAATTAAATTTTCTTATTTTTCCCCATCGAGATCATCACATATACACTAAACCCACGAAACTTAAAATTTATTTATTGAAGAACATAATATAAATACTTACGTATTTTAATTGAAGAAGAATTTGACTTTAGAAGCAAAAATGACAAGTCAGATATTACTTAGGATTAAGGAGATACTGAACTATAACTTCAAATATTCTAGTTTGTTATAGTTTTTTCACCATTTATTGTATGTAACTTACTTATTTTGATGTCTCATTGAATTCATGCCTTAATGCATATGCAGCGATACATGAGATGCATGTGAAAATACTCAGTTGCCCAAGACAATTTTTACAATGCAAGATTTTCTGTTAAATTCAATAGATTCTGTTAGTGGCCTATTTGCAAATAATTAAAGGCGAAAAAGTGATTTGAGTAATAATTTTAAGACCGAGTCTACAATACGGGCATAATTAAATAATTAAAGTCGTTATTTTTCCTATCAAGCAATCTCTCACTCGATCCTAATTATAATTATTAGGTATTTTTTTAAAAAAAATTACATCTTTTAAAATAAATCTTATTTCAAATAATGTGGATTAATTTCTTTGGAATAAATGATTTGGAATTGGAAATAAAGCACTCTTTAAAGTTTTCGAGTATTATAAGTAAACAATTTACTGTATTTACTCAATTTTTATTTCATTCATTTTTTTTTAATTTAAATTTAAAAATAGGGAAAATAGCATTTTTACCCTTAAATTATATACTTATAGCACTTTTTCCCCCTGAATTATTTAAGTGGCTATTTTTTCCCCTGAAATGTTAAATGGACATTTTTACCCTTAAAATATTTTATTTATTTTTCTTATCCAACAAATTATGACCACGATTCGGTTCAAACCGAACAGACACTATAACAACTAAATTGAAATATTCCAATTACAATTTAGAATCGAAACCTGATACATAGAGTTTATTAAAATCACGAACCGGAACGGCCGGTTAATGTTCCGAACTGAAAAAAAATACATTTATTGTTGAATTTAGACTATTTAAAAAATAAAAAATAAATAAAAATTTTAAAATAAAGACGGTTCAAAATCGCGAACCGGATCTGGAACTGTCAGTTCACGGTTCAGGATCCAATTTTTTCGATTCATAATTTTAATAAACTGAAATCCAAATATTGGGTTCTGGATCTAAGTCATAACTGAAAATTTTCAATTCGATTTCTATTGTGTCCGGTTCAGTTCAAATCGAACTGTGATTAGCCCTACGTATAAGTAATAATTTGTTGGAGAAGAAAAATAAATAAAATGTTTACTTTAAGCGTAGAAATGTCAATTTAATATATCAGGGGGAGAAACTGTCACTTTTAAAATAATTGAGGGGCTAATGTGCTTACATGAACAACTCAGGGAGAAAATGTGCTATAATCATATAATTCAGGGGAAAAAGTGTCATTTTCCCTTAAAATTATGACAAATTTTACCTCTAAAATATACTTATCATTTTACTGTGCCGATGCATGCCATTGCTATAAATATATGTGGCTATGCAACAAATAGGGCATCAAAACAAGCATCATCTTTTCTTTCTATTATTGTATTGCTTTTCCATCATCTTCCATCCCTCTCTCTCGCATATTTCAGTAGCAGGAGCAAACTCCAGCCAGATAAGTCATATCAGGTATAAATTAAACACCCTTTAATTTTCTAATGCCATTTGTTTAATCATGCATTGCATTCATACATTGGTTTATGTTGAGTTTGTCGGTCATCTCAACAATGCTCTGATATTAATTTATTGAGATTAACAAGAACAAGAAACAATAATAATAATGGCAGAAAATAAAAGTAAAGAAGACAAAATTCATAATGATGGTGATGGCATGGTAGTGATTTTGAGGATTACACATACATTTAGGATACAACCAATATATTTATAGTCATCTTTCACTATACAATATATAATGGCCCACACCCAATCTCTTCCACTCCTATTCCTATCGGATGCTCGACCGGGAAGAGGGATAGAAGTGGCTGATTTTAGCTAGAGGAAGAAAGTCTTTTTTATAGGACTAACCTTATCTTTGATGGACTTTGTGAGCAGCTAATTTCACTTCACTCCATGAATCCCATCCCGAAATTGAGAAGTAGTTGAGTTGAGACAACTCATATTCCTAATCATAGATGGACAAACTCAATCGTTTATATTAGGACTCTATATTGTATTCTAGTAACAGGTTGTTCAATAACAAAATTCTTTTCAAAATTATTGTTCTCAGGTGATTCGTTGCTGTGCAAATGGAGAACCAAGATTCTTTCTCAGTAGTAGAAGAAGGGAAATGGTGGGGAAGTAAACAATTGCAACAAATCAATGGGTTTTGGTTCATGCCACTTGTGGTCCCTGGAGTTCAACGAGTCCTGGCCGAGTTCAACCCAAACCCTAATGATGTAATCTTGGCTTCATTTCCCAAAACCGGCACCACATGGCTCAAATCTTTGCTTTACTCAATCATCTATCCATCCTGTCTTGATTCCCTAGCCAAACACAACCCCCACGATCTTGTTCCTTTCCTTGAAATGCGAGTCTTCAGTGAAGGATCGCCACCCTACATCATGCCACCACCCAATGCTAAAACCACTACTGGAAATTATGGAATTTCCGACCACCTTTGGGTTCCTGGCGACATAACTAACATTTTCAGTACCCATATTCCATATCAATTGTTAGGAAAAACCTTTGAATCCTCAGGTTGTCGTGTGGTTTATGTTGCCAGGAACCCAAAGGACACCTTGAATTCACTCTGGCATTTCGTGAATAAGTGGAAGGTAGCCGAGGAGGGAGAGTGGGGGTTGGAAGAAGCTGTAGAGAAATTTTGCCAGGGAATTGTACCTTTCGGATCTTACTATGACCATGTGTTGGGGTATAAAATGGCGAGTTTAAAGAACCCTAATAAAGTGTTCTTTATTACATATGAAGATCTAAAGAGTGATGATACAAAAACTCACGTCAAAAGATTGGCTGAGTTTTTGGGTTGTCCTTTTGGTGAAGAGGATAATGACAAAGTGGAAGAGATAGTGAGGAGTTGCAGCTTTGAGGTTTTGAGCAATCATGATGTGAACAAGTCTGAGGATTCTCATACTGTTGGGACGATGACAATAGCTACTAAGGCCTTGTTTAGAGAAGCGATTGTTGGTGACCATAAAAAGTACTTGAATGATGAGAGTATTAAAAGAATTGATGCACTCACAAAAGAGAAATTTCACAATTTCGGTATTGCTTATGGGGTTTAATTAGTTTCTTTAATTTGTTTGTGTGGCATATGTAAGAGCATAGAAATTGGTGTGTTTCTTTGCTTCTATGGTGTGTGTAGAGAGTTTAAATTGTTATATTTCGTTGTTTTCGTTGGCTTGTAGCATATGTAACCATTCCATGGTTATGGATTTTGCAATTATATTCAAATATAATAATATTTGTAATATTGATAAGGCAATTGTTGGGCGTCGGTCGAGTTCAGCCCCTGCTTGATTCGAGACGTGGCGTTGTAGCTTACCATGGAGAGATGTGGTTAAATGGTTAATGTCCACCTACTTATCACCAATTGGTTTTAAGTACAATATGACAACCAGATACACATAGAACTCTGCGGTTAAGCGTGCTTGACTAGCTAGTAAGCATAGTGCAGTGCTGAGATCCAACAACAATTTATATCATAGATCAGGATCCACATAGCAATTAATTAATACTCGTAAGGTACAGAATTTCATAACACAGAACACAAAAAAAAAATTACAACACAAACACGTAACATAGCATTATGCACCCAACTAGATTGAAAAGACGAGTTACATAACTCATACTCGTAAGATACAGAATTTCATAGCACAATACATAAAAAAATAATAATACTAGAGACATACACATGCTATATTTACTTATTTTTCAAATCTGATTTACGTACATAATTTGTGTTCGTAGGCACTGAATTTCACAACACAAAACACAGAAATTCATAACACAATACACAATTACTAATTTATTTCAAATACAGAATTTTATAACCACAAAATACAAAAAATACATGAACCAAATGATAACGTTAGTTTCACTTAATATTGTTACTTGGTGTACATTATATTGTTGCATAAATGCACCACAACTTGTTCAGAAAAGCAGTAGGAAAATGCACAAATGCACCACGCCTTGTGCATTTCTAAACATATTGAGATTCATTCTTCCATACCTAATGGTGAATGACATCTGTACGGGAATTGAAACAGACCTTATATATATATATATATATATATATATATATATATATATATATATATAGAGGAAAAGTAAATGATATATAGGATCATGGGTGTGGTTAAGTTAGACCACGGGTACGTTATGGATGGTAACAATTTGAAAGTCGAATTGAAAACAACAGGTGATAAATTTAAAAGTTTAAGATAAAACGTGGCAAATTAAAACCAATATATTCAGTAAACCTCATTGGTGATGTTCTAAAATCTAATTAACCACGTGAGAGGTGTGTAGTGTGCAGATGGATAGATTGGAGGAACAATGATGAAGAGTGTGTCTAGCCATATCTGGTTTAAAACTACCAACCACACAAATTTCACTTTCATGAACTGTCGTACGTTGTACTAAAATTGCATTTTAGTCCTTGAATTATATCTTTATTATAAACATAATTTTAACATTATTGTTTCATTTGTTTTCATTTCTTTATTTATTTACAAAGTGATAGTTTTAATGAGATTACTAACATAATTCATTATATTCAACGGAAAATTTTATATTGTAAGAGTTATCCAGGACAACCAAGTAGTTTCACAAAATTTTATTACATTTACTCCCCAAAATCACTACATATATGTTAAAATCACTAAACCTACTAAAATTTGTTTACCTCAGTATAGAACTATATATAGATACATACTCTATTGTGGACTATTTGGCAAATTTGGGTGCAAGCCATGGAAACGAGTGGAGTAAGCACAGAAAGCCACCACCGGAAATGGAGGGGGTCCTCGACAGTACAATAACAAGTTGGGTACAACTCTCATCTCGTCAATGCTCGTAGAGTGAGGGAGAGAGCCTAGCCTCTTCTGTTCGGGGTCTTCCCCTCCCTTTTTGATCCAAAAATATATATATAGATACATACATTATACTTATATATTTCAATTGAAGATGAATTTAACTTTTGAAGCAAAAATGACAAGTTGGATATTACTTAAGTTTTTTTACAATGTATTGAACTCTAAATAATTGTTCTAAACTAACAACTTAAGATTTCAACATTAGTTACATTCATGTGGTTTGATGGCATCACTGTTAACATTTTAAATGAAAGATCACAAATTTGAGTCACACCCTAATTAAGCATATTGGCATAATCATATTAAACAGATATTATAGAAATATTATATTGTAGTTAAAAAGAAATCTAAAACCTTTTTTACTTTTTAAAATCTTTGAAAATCTATTTATTTACCTCTAAACTTTTACTCATTGGGGACCATCACGTGTCATGTTGAAGTCTGAATGTCAATTTTGTCAAGACATTTTATTCGGCATGGATAAATTATTGTCCTCATCATGCATGACTTTTTCGATAGTTCCAGAGACAATCTTGGTCCATTAAATTATGTGCCCTTAGGGTTGGGGTTCAGCCTTTTGAAAGAATACAATAAACTCATAAATTGAGAACTTTACGATCAAATGATGAATTAATTATAATAATGTATTATATTAAAGGAAAGTGTTATAAATATTATATTACAATATAGTATCTGTTCATAACTATTTTCTCAACATATTGAAATATAAATACTCAACACTACCCTCACTAGGGATCAAACTCATGACTTTTCATTTGGGAGAGCCATTTCGTGCCGTTAAATCAAAAAGTCATTGGCAATTACCATGTATATATGTAATCTTGTTTTGGAATGAAATGGTAAAGATGAACGTAATATTTTCAGATTTTCTTGTTTTTTTTTTAGCTGTTATCTACTTTATTTTTCTTTGCAATTCCTTTTGATCCATCGTATTTGAGATAACAGACATTCTAATTATAACATGTTATCAACACGATCCATTGCTTTGCGAGCGAAAGCACAATATTTGGTTCATCAAGATCAAGATTTAAGTACCCTCCTCTTTTATATATATACTTATATATGGCTACAATTGTTTACATAATCTTCTACTTCATTCAATTTCACCAGCCGCGTGGTGTTATTGTTACTATGTTCATATAAGAGTATAATTAGAATTTGTTTCCTACTTTTGCTAATCAAGGACGTTATTGCGAGACAAATCAATGTGCTGAGGTGCAACGAAATTGTATGTTAAGTTTAGTGATTAGTCCTTTTACCTAAGGCTCAAAAGTGTGATGTGCAAATTGATTGGTCCGCATCAAACAAGTTTCGTTCCCGGGAGGCAAATAACAGATAATACACTGGAGTTAATACCCAAAATCGTCATCGACTATAGTGGTTTTTCTCAATTTCGTCCTAAACGACTTTGGTGACCTAATATCGTCCCAGACTTTTGTGTTTCGCTCAATTTAGTCCTCCATTTGTTATTCCGTCAAATTGGTGTTAAATTAAGGGACAATTCAGTAAGGTCAATATTGATCTCTCTTTACTTTCAATTTGTGAAGTGCGAAATTCCTCTTTCTTGTACGAATTACACCCAGAATTACTCCCGGACCTGCAAATCAAATTTTATATTCGCAATTTTAGGAGTAATTCGTAAAAAAAAAAAAGGATTTCGCAGTTCACATGTCTATGAGTAAAGAGATGCCAATATTAAAATTACTGAATTGTCTATTTATTTAACACCAAATGGACATAATAACAAATGAGGGACTAAATTGAGCAAAAACACAAAAGTCTGGGACTAAATTGAGCGAAACACAAAAGTCTGGGACGATATTAGGTCACCAAAGTCGTTTAGGACGAAATTGAGAAAAACCACTATAGTCGAGGACGATTTTGGATATTAACACTGGTTTATCAAGAAATGCTGAATTCAATAACGAACAAAAGATGCATGCAGGGAAGGGTGGATGGCAATCAAAATTGACCTTGAGAAAGACCGTACCTATGATAGGCAATCCTGGTCATTTATTCATTCTGTTCTATCTAAAGTCGGTTTCAACCAAAAATGGATTAGGAACATCATGGCCTGCGTGTCGACTTCCAGAGTTAGCGATTGCATAATTGCTACAACTTCAAAGTCGAAATGATTCCTTGCTTAGATCTTGTTCTCCAGTTGATCGAATCTAACCTAGTTGTATAAGTGCTTTTCTTAGGAAATGTAAAGAGAGAAAGAACAAATGAATCCTCTCTAAAAATAGCAACGACCACTTAAGAACAAATGAATCTCTAATGCTTTTCTTAGGCAATATTTGTGGAAAATTTCCATCAAAAACTTATTCATTTGAAAAAGATTATTTATGTAAGAATTATATTTATTTTATATCTAATTTCTCCTCTTTATATATATATATATGGAGTCAAATTAATTATAATTGAGGTTTAAATGAATATATACACAAATTATATTAAATATAAAACTTTACCAATAAATTTAAACACAATAAATTGTTTTCCATACTTCATTATAGAAATAGAGATAGAGATAGAGATAAAGCTATAATAATAAAATATAATTTATAAAATATAAATACACATAATAACTTCAAAAAAAATATGTATAAATACTTATACCAACACAATTAATGCATTCATACTTGCTAATCTTGTTTCTATCAAAATGCATTCACACTTTGGAGGGAAAATTTTGTGGCTAGATTTTAAAGAAGATTAGATAGAATTGAAGTGTTCTATTTAATTTAATATCTTCATATTGTAGATATCTTTAAATTTATTTGTTTTGTATTTCAATTCAAAATTTGTAAAGTATTTAACAAAGCTCTTATCCAGAACTTCTATTATTAAAAAATATAGCTTTGGTTAATTAACAAGTTCTTTGTAATATTATTTCTTAACTAAACTTCTAAACATTGATTTTTTAGATAAGATTAGATGTTGTTAATTTTCGAGATGATTCTCGCATCTTTGAATGTGTAAAAAACATTTTCAAAGTTCGTTATAGGAATTACAAGCATGAATTTTACAAGCAGTTCCTCAAATATGACCCTACAACTGAGGCCAAGTTACATGTTCCAAAAGGCCTAACAAATGAACTTTGTGATTATTGGTCCAAAGGGAATGTGCAGGTTAGTTTCTTTATTAAATATATCTAACATTTATATTTTCAATACAATAACTAAGTTATGATGATGGATATTATATGTGAACTGCATGATAAATTTTTTGTGTCGTAGTCAGCAGAAAATGTCACATAATCAAGGGTTTGTTGCATTTGTAC